TTAGCAGACAAGGAGGTGAGAGCATCGCTCTGCTCTGCCTGCACCACAGCTCACTTCAGCTCCAGTGCCTCTTCCAGAGGGATGCGGGCACCATCTAGGTCAAACCCATGGGATGCTGCGGTGTTTCCTGTCCCATCGTTTAAACCCTGGCATTGTGGTCCTGCAGCGGGAGAAGGGGGACAGGATTCTGTGTGAGCCTGCAGGGGCCAGGGGAGGAAAGCTGCCTCCACACATCACTGTCAGTGTTTGTTTATTTACCACGTAACGGTAGATACAGCTGGAAAAAGCAGGAGGGGGATTGCTGCCAGACAGTGTATCCGGGGAGATGTTTTGTTAGTGCCACCAGCTGTCCCTTTGGAATAGAGAGCACGTCTGCACCGTGACTCACACAGCCCGGGTCCTGTTTCACTCCCGCATCCATCCAAAAATGTTCCTCCAGCCTGAGAATGCAGTAAAAGCCTCCAGTTGCTGGCAAGAGCTTCTGCAGCCAGCTCTGTTCTGCTGCCCCTCTGTGATCAGAAAGGAAAAGAGCCACTTTAACTTGTAAAGTAACTCCTGCCGCAATTAGAGGGACAGCAAATGACCTGCCATGTCAAGGGAATACAGAACTCTGTGAGATGCCTAGTTAAGATCTGGGGTGGAAGGTGATTGTGCTGAAGTCAGTGGAGAAACTATTCTGGCCTTGGATGGATACAGGATCAGATATAAATGTCCAATACTCCAGCAAAGCCAGAAAGCTTCTCTCAGAACAGGCTGTTGTCCTAGCCTAGTCACCTTTGCTGGCAGTGTTCCCATGCAGACAGTTCCCCAAATCTTACCACAAGTTGATGCCTCCAAGTTCCACTCCTCCCCATTCCTTCATCCAGCTCTGCTCAGGCATTCTGGCCTCAATACTCCAACACAGTGAAGCCAGACCTTTCAAAAGAGAGGGAAGGAGATGCCAGATGTGGACACATCTGTCACGGATGGAGAACTATAGCTTGGGTTTGTGCCACTGCGATGGAGTCGGCTCAGTGGTTAACCCTGTGGTCACTGCTGGGAGGTTTCCCCACACACCACTGCAGAAGAGGATTACCTCTGAGGGAAGAGCCCGTGCCCACTGGCTGCAGTCAGTGTGTGGGGCACATAGAGAGACCATGGGGCTCTGCTGGGATGAGCTCTTGGAATGGGGCAGTGGATGGGGAGAGGCAATGGGCTGATCCCCATCCTCCCTGTGCTAGACCCGATGTGAGTTGACTCTCCAGTGCCTCTTCTGTGGCCAAGCAGCGACTCCACTGTGTGGAACAAAACTTATCATCAACTAAATAAACCCTTAAGTCAGTGGGGACAGGGGAAGGATGGAGGGAAAACTCAATAAAACACTGCCAAGTGCAATGACTGCAGTGAACCCAAGTGCCATTGGGATGTCCCAGCCCCATTCCTGGACAAAGCAATGGAAAAAGGTTTCCATCAGTGGTGTCAGTGACCAGGCCTGTGCACGGGTGCTCCCATCCACATGTGTGCACCTTGGGGGAACCAGGGTCACTTCAAACCAATCAAAACTGACCAAACCTGCTATCATTCCTATGGCTCCGACACCAAACACCAGATTGACAGCAACTTGGTAGTGTCCTTTTATATCTCTGGCACAGGCAAGGGGGTGGATCATGACTGTTTAGTGCACAGCCCTAGATGGAGCCATGGAACAGCTGGGAAAGGGCTGGGCAGAGGGAGAACCTCAGTGCCACATTCCCGAGATTAGATTAGAGCTCAGCCCTGAGCCCTACGGAGGGGCCAGGCCAGAGAACGCTAAAGGCAGCAAGAAGAATGGGAGCTTAGCCCTCGAGAGCTTCCAAAAATAAAGAAAAGTGGGTCAGAGGGACTGAAGAGGGGCTGGAATGCGTCTTTGAAGCATAAGGGTAAGAAGGAAACAAGTTGTCACTCAGTAAGAGAGGATTCCCATCCCCAGAAACAGCGCCTGAAATGTCAGAGGTGAGAGTGGCTGGACAGAGGAGCTGGAATTCGAGCACAGTTACCATGCACGAGGAAAATACCACACCTGCCCTCCAGGAAAGTATTTTAAGCTTAAAAATAAATAAGATCCTGCACCATGAAAGATCCATGTTCCACGGGTAGGATGTCCTGGGATTTGTCAGATCCGTAGTTGCACTGTTGTCACAATACTCTCCATACTGACAGTGTCAGTCATGAAACAAACAACTTCTCATCTCCAGCAAACAGTGTGGGAGCGAGGGGGATGCTCTGTCCCTCAGCGACTGCGCTCCGGAGCTGTTACCAGTGCAAAGCCACAAAGGATGCTGTAGCACAGAGGCTGTTATTAGCAGGGGGGCTCAGAAGAGCAGCCAGAATGAATTCTTTATGGTAACACATTATTTGTTATCTATGTTAATAAATTATCTGCCCAACGGCATAAATTTAATTCACTCTGTGACAGTGCAGATCCCTCTAAAGCCTCTTTAGAGCTGATTACATGTATCACAAAGACCCAGTTTGGCCTTAACACAGGTATTCACACCTATTTGATCTCTGTAGAATACAATTTATCCTCCTCACACTCAGAGCAGGTTTTCCACTAAGTACAGACCGAGCACTCAATCAAATAGAGCTTAATATTTCATATTTACCCAAATCTTGGGGATGGTGGGTCTGAACAAAGTGCAGAATCCAAGATACTGAGGTTTGATTTCCAATATGCTCTGGCTGAAACAGGAGTTCTGCACAGCCACACATCTTCCATCGACGTTCATCCCCATGGCACAGCAGGATTAGTCTCAGAGAAAAACCTGACTCAGGTTTTCATTAGGCTTGGCTCACATGGGACTTCTACAGACTTCAAATGATTTACGTTTAGAGTGAGAAATTGGAAGAATTTCACATAATCCTGAAGGGAAGAAAAGAAACACAGCCCCCCCCTCCAAATATATAAACCTCTTTTTAGAGCTCATATGAAAGCTACATTACACTCCTGAGTATCCTTCTAGGTTACCTCAGCCTCTTCAAGAAGTCTGCTTGATCCAGTGCCGAGCAACCCAAACATCCCAAAACTCATGTCAATAAAATCTTTACAGTCCTCCTCATTTCCCTGTATGAAAGGCAGGCTCCACACCCACACCAGTTCAGGCAAAACCCAGTAAATACCTTACTGGAGTGTGCCCAGTGCTCTGTCCTCAGCACGCTGCCGACACCGGTGCCAGTCCCTTGCTGCACAGCCACACTCCACTCATGGCACCTCCACGCAGGCTCCTGCCTGTGCCACCCGCTGGCTCCAGTGCAGTCACTGGTTCAACATCTGCATCCCCTGCAGAGAAAAAGAAACAGAGAAATGGGAAAGAAACAAAGAACTGGGCAAGAATGGCTGAGGTCAGCAGTTTTCTCCTGCTCACGGCCACGTTACTGCTCCCCACGTGCTGGGCACTTACCAGAGTGAAAACATACACAGCAAGGGGCAGATGCTCAGCACGTGCACTTGGAATTGCCCCACACCACAAATACTGCCCCGCTGTGAGCTCTAAAGCTGACTTCAAAATAACTGGGAGAACATTCTGGTTTGCATTCATACCAACACGACCTGACACCACAGCAAGGGAGATTTCACCTGCTCAGCTCCTGCTTTCAGTGTTCCCGTGTGGATGAGAGGGGTGGGAGCAAAGGCAGGTCCTACTCCCCCAAGCACTCCTGCTGTGATGCTCCCGGTGGTCCAAGAGGCCAAATCCAGCAAGATTTTTCAGCAAACCAAGTTGGGATTGCCCCTTTCCCCTCTTGCCTGAGCCAAAACAGCAGTCCTTCAAGGTCAGCAATGTAATAAACTGGCAAAAGAAGGTAGATGGGAAAGCCGCCAGCTCTGCTTCTTGCCAGGTATCTGTCACACTAAAGGATAAACAGGCCCTTCTGCTTCCAGGATTTTCCATCCATCACTTAACCCGCCCACAGTGAAGTTGTCACTTAATTTGAAATTAAAAGGGGAGCAGAGGAATTGTTAAAAAGACCTCGAGAAAGCAGGGGAAGGAGGCGACACCCGAGAGCCCTGGGTCATCCTACCCCATCCAGCCTCTGTCATTGCTGCTTTGTTCCATATTTAGCTCCTGACAACTGTGCCTAGCACAGGAACTCCCAGCTCTGGTTTTCCCTCCTCCCTCTCCCTTAGAGCTCTCAGAAATCGTTCCTTCTTTTTCCCAGTGGCCATAACTTAATACCCCTCGGCTCAAGAAGATGGCAGAGAAGCAGGAGGAGCCCAGCAACACCCAGAACGGGGAACCTGACAACACGGAAGAGGGTGAGGAAAAGAAGAAGAAGAAGCTGAGGCGGGAAGACCTGCCACCATTTGAGATTGTGACAGGGTAAGAGGTTGAGATACAAGTATGGGGGCGCGAGAGAGGGAAGTGGGGATGTTCAAAGGTCTCTGCCTCAGCTCTTACGTTGGGTCAAAAACGACATCTTCAGTCAGTGCACTTCTGAATATTCCTAAAAGGATTAAGTATGGCTTTTGTTGTGGTGGGATTCGGTTCAAAGTTTCACTGAGTTTCCCAGAGGATGGATTCACACCAGGCAGGCAGATCTGTTTTACACAAGCAGGTCTGTGTTCCTGCAGTGCTGACTGCTCCCCTTACACTGCAAGTAGTCCTGCTGACTTGCCTGGTGATACCGGGATGGAAGGCACTGGCCCTTGATGAGTGCTTAATATTGATTTCTTGGTGTGATCAGTGACTGATCTGAAAGTTTCACTACCTGTGGATTGGGAAAAGTACCCCTGCTATGGCTGATTTGCTTTATGAACCTAAGCGACAGGTTTTTCAAGAGATGAAAGTCCACATTCACAAGGGCTCCACCTCCACAGCTGGATCCTGACTTTCAGAGAAGCCCGACTCACAGAACAGCCCCAAAACCACAGGCAGTTTCCAGGACTGCAAAGCAGCAAGTGGCTGCCTTTGCTCCAGGGAGCCTGGCCTTTGAAAGAGGCAGATCTGAGAGATGTGCCAGGGAGCTGAACTCTGTCAGATATAACTGACAGCTGCAACCAGAAACAACTCAGTAATCTGCTGGTTCTGAGCATTTCAAAATGCTCATTGTAGTAGTAGCAAGATGCCCTGTGTTATTCGTCCCTCTGGTCTCCCTCAGCAGTCACCAAAGGGAGTGTTCCCAGCACATAAAACCAACTCGTGGCTTCTTCCAGCTGCTTGAATGTAAAAGCTCAGGCCAGACTCTAAAATCCCACTTGGAATCCTCCTGCCTGTGACATGGTCACTAGGAAGAAAGATTCCACAGATAGATAAAATTTGGGTGGTGTTTCTGAAAGCGACGCAGGAGGCAGCACGTGGGTCTGATCCCACACAACGAGGTTACAGTCCTGCACAGGGGTGGAAAAAACAGCATTTTCTTCCTAAAATGGGTCTGCTCTGACAAAAATCACTTCTCAGGGTGAGGTTGTTCACAGCCTTTGGCCTGTCACACACAGTCATAGAGATAATAAAAGTCACTGCATACGAAAAGCACATCCCTCTGTTAGAAACAGAGAGAAGACACCAAAAATTGTTTATATAGCCATTGGAGCAATAACACATGGAGGTGACAACTTCTAGACACTTAAGACATGCACTAAAATGAATCTCAATGAGGAAATCTGATTTTTCAGCATTAAAGCACTCATCTTGCAATTAGAAATGCTGAGGAATCAGGCAGTGGCTTCAAGCTTCCTTGCTAACCCCAGCGACTGGATAGGAACTGGTGTGCTCATTATGGATGAAAAGTCCTTTCTTAGTGGCATCCTGCAATAACGTTATTTGTTGAAATGACAGGGGTGTTGCAGAATTCCGCAGGACTTTCCACTCTGGAAAGATGGCATCAAGAACGTGAGGGATGATGTGTGCCTGCAGAAAGGGTAGCAAGGGGAAAATTCAATCTGTGTGCCTTTACTGGAGAGGGAAATGGCAAGAAAAGAAGTTACACAGTCACAGTAGTGCTTATAAATACCTCGTGAATTCCTGTAGGAATCATGACCATGTCTCTCTGATCATTAGCTCATTACTAACGTGCTGGCTGGTAAAGATGAGAGTGAGGAAGTACAGCAGAAATCCTGAAGGACCCTGGAAGAGGCACAGAAAATTCCAGCAGCTCTTACCCGCTATCATCATGGGTTGGATTTCTCCAATTCTGTACAAATTTTCAGCCACCAAAGCCAGGCAAATAGAAGGAAACACAGAACTGCAAATGTGGAAAGCACTGAAGCTCAGTTACACTGCATTTCAGTTCTAGCCCTTGGATTAGGGGCACCTTATGACACGCAGCCAAGTTTCCAAGCTGTTGCTTACAGCTGAGTCTGGCTTACAAGAAAAATACTGGGCACCCAATTACTCTGTTTAAGAATATTAACCCCTGTTTTGTCAACATTTGGCTCGACACAGTCCCAGATAAATATAAGCCCCATCTGTGCACATTGCCTGACATTTAAGTAGACTCATTTATTTACGCTTCCCTCAGGGTGTAAATGAGGCTCCTTCTAGCAGGGATAAACCTTAGTTCCTGTCTCGGCTGATCACTGCAGGCTTCCTATAATCAATGAGCCCAGCATGAATGTGTTTATTTGTGAACAGTTGTAAAGGAGCAAGCAAGAGGACACTGGTTTATCAGCTCAAATAACCTAAGACCTGGAGAGGGAAATGGCGAGAAAACTTCACTGATTGCAAAAAAAACCCCAAAACAAACACAAGAACAGGAAAGCAAATGGCCCAGTCACTGAAATATCTGATGTTTGTGTATTTCAATAGGTTGTGAGGTCATATTCAAGACAATACAATTTTTATGTTCAGCATTTATAGCAGTACAGCTTCCAGTGTAAGAAAATATGAGAATGGAACTCATCTCCTGGGTATACTTTGTTAGCATTACCTTTCCTTAGCGCTGGAACAAAACCTGTAACGGGTAAAATAGAGATAACATTAACATTTGTGCACCACTTATCATTCAAAGGTGGGAAAACAGGCTTGCTAAGCATTAAGCATTACGAAGAAAACATCCTTCCAAAGTTAGGCTTGAGCTTCCAAAGAAGTTGGCTTAGTTTGGTGTAGTGGCTGAGACAGCTATTTCAGGGATGTATTTTGATGCTCAACTGCTTGCAGAGTTTTAATCTACCCAAACAATATAATCCTGATACTTCACTTTGCAAAAGTTATGCCAAGCTGTACCTCAGGGGTTGGTTACACAGCACTGTGGTATGTGCACAACCCTGTGGTATGTGTGGTTTGGTTTTGCCTGTTCTTTCGCTGCTGAATCACTCGCCGCGGGGCTTTCCAGTTACTCCCAGGAGTAACACCACCTTGTCTGAACCCAGGCTGCCAGGAAGAGCCACACAGCAGGGACCCAGCTGAGATGGATGCTTGCAATTCACTGTCCTGAGGTACCCTCCCTGCTCTGGTTTAGATGGGATTAAGGAGGTTCTCACTAACCAGCACACCCAGCTCCCTGGGTATCCTGATCAGCAAATTTTCCAAGCTCTCAGCCAGCTGGTTGGAAAATGCCCTTAGCTTTGTTTATATTCTTTATCGGAAAGTTATTAATGAAGCTGATGCACATCCCATGTTGCTAGGAGGATGGATTTAGGTGAACATCCCAGATAATCTCAGACAGACACCAAGATGGTAAGTGATAAAATCCATCTAGAAGGAATGCCTAAATGCACCGCTGAGTGAACACATCCTGGAACAGATCTGGAACAGGTCACTGCTCTTCAAACAGCACATCAAAACAGCCACATTCAGCCACACCACTGACGTAACCGCTTTGCAGTCAAGAGTTAAATCTGGAATGAACTTCCATGTGACTGCTGGGCTGCATTTAAATACATGAGCTTATTCTAAAACAACTTATTGTAGCCTTACAAACTTAGCTCTGAAACAAGGCAGTGGGTGGCTTCTATTAGACCCAACATAGCTGGACTTCAAAGAAATCAGTGATCAAATAATCATTAACCAAAGAACCACTCATTAGCTAGAATATAAAGCAGGCAAAATGCTTTTCTTGGAAGCATGTGAATTGTTGTGTCTCAAAGAGCAAGAGAAAGGAATTCAGGGCATAAGAGGCACTAGGCTAAATTAGAGTCTGGTACTGCTCTTTGGTTTACGTCTTGCAATTCATCTTAAAGAAAATGAGACTCACTGCAACAGGCAACTTTAAACCATCTAATGTAAGGGAACAGGTCAAAATGCAAAGAAAAGGAAGTTAAAAGTTCCTCTGGGTAGTTTGGAAATTCTGCAAGCCAGCACAGGCTTCCTTTATCTAGGCTTGTGCAGGCTCTGAACGCAAACCAGAGAACCATAGGCTTAATCATACCCAAAGAGCATGATTTATTTGCTCGTTAATCAAAATAATAGTCTGTATCCACACTAGTGCTTCACATCCCTCATTAATACACTGCCAGCTAAACCAGGAATAGTGTGGAAGGCTCCCAAACAGGCTGCTCTATTGTTTAAATCCTGCCTCGTGCAGATCTCATCTAAGTAGAATTGAAGAGTGTGAGGTTTAATTATACGGTTTAATCAGCAGCTGAAAACCTGCTTCTAGTAGAATTTCTCAAGGCAAACTTGTGCTCTAAACTTCCAGTCACGAATCAGTGCTATGTGAAAAGAATTCCAGTGGCCCTCTGGATATTCCCAGCATAGATGCAATTCTGTGAACAAAGTTGTTTTGACTCGTACATCGTGTTGCATTTGGAAGACCAATGACCCTCCTTTCAGTCACTTCCACTGTCTCTGGAGACACTTTGGGAGATGCTGCATCGCAAATTGCTCCTTCCTCTCAGCAGGACGATGCTTTGGCACTGACTCCTGCAGCCTCACTGCTCTCCAAATTAAAAACTCCAGGAGTCTGAGGATCTCTCCTGACCTTTGCTCAGTGCACCCCCTGGAGAGGGCTGACATTATAATCTGACTATAGATGAGACAGGAATGAATAAACCACTGTTCTACAAAGATCCGTTATTGCCTCACTGGGAATATCAAGGTTATAGGTCCACCTAAAGCTCAGATGAGAGGAATACAACACGCCAGAAGATGGTTGGTGTATAATAGATGAAGTGTTGTGTTACTACTTTTCATTATTTCCCTTTGGCTACCCTGTGCAGTCTTCACTCCCACCCTCTGTAGCATTTAGCAGGTCACGAGGCATGCTGTGAGCACAATCATTTTCATCTTTCCACCTAACATCCTTCAGGTACTAGTCCTTTTACCAACATGCTCCACAGTTAGGTGCTACAGGGGGTGATCAGAAAGCCTGGTACTCCCAAAGAAAGGAACAGGGACTACAAGACAATGCAGCTTTCCTTTTTTGTCCCTTCAGCCACCAATGCACAAAGGCAATATACAGTATTTAAGGGACCAACTGTATCATCCCTAAATAACAATTACCTTGTTTGAGTGAAAGGGTTCTGCAAACACATTACTCACTGCCATGATTCACTTTGGATTCTGCTTATTTAGAAACCTGGAATGGAAGAGGAGGTGCACAAAGAGTATCCGAAGTTTATCAACAGCATCCATAAGACAGCTATCAAACTGCAGTGGGACAAACACTTTCACAGAGAAGTTAGATTTGACCTCAGGTATTTTATTAAACCAAAGTCACAACATAATCCTACTGAACATCAGTATTCAGCTGACACTAAAGGAGTAGAACTAGAACACACAAAAGCTGCAACTAGTCAAGTCATACTCACCTCTACTCAGAAGTAATCCAGCCTGCAAAAGCACCGAGGGTAGAACATCAAAACCAGCAATGCCAGAGCTATCATCCTAATAGTGTAGGACAACAGACCCTGCAGATTAACACTACACCACCACCACCCTGACAGAACTACATGAATGGCCTAGAGAACCAGCTCAGTCTACAGGTACATCAGGACTGGGAAAATGCCAACTGCTGTCCCTCCTTACCAGCAGTAAATACCACACTCTCAATAAACACATTTTAGAAGCAGGTTCTTCTTCAAATACCTCAATACAGATACTAGATATTCCCAGTACAAGTCTGTTAGAATTAAGTGAAGAAGACTAGGTAGAGAGTACAGGCCTGGAAGCCTCATCACACCAAAAGCTAGCTGAATATCATAGAATTTTAAGGCCTCTCCTTTTAATGCCCGGGGAAATACAGCCACCACAGATGCAGCGACTTGTCAGAGATCACCCACAGGAACTAAGCCAATGCTCTAACCCTTCCCTGTCTGCCTCTGAGATGCTTCTCTCCTCTCCACTCTCTAGGGAGCGTCTCCCAGCCATATTCTTCAAGTTCCAGTTCAGGAACGTGGAATACAGCTCAGGCAGGAACAAAACCTTCCTGTGTTATGTTGTGGAGACCCAAGGCAAGGAGTCGGGGACTTCCCGCGGTTACCTGGAGGACGAGCACGCGGCTGCCCACGCGGAAATGGCTTTCTTCAACACCATCCTCCCCAAGTGCGACTCCAGCCTCCGCTACAACATCACCTGGTACGTGTCCTCCAGCCCCTGCGTGACCTGCGCCGAGCGGATCATCGAGACCCTGAAGAAGAACAAGAACCTGCACCTGACCATCATGGTAGGGCGCCTCTTCATGTGGGAAGAGCCAGAAATGCAGGTGGCCCTGAAAAACATGAAGTCAGCTGGCTGCAAGCTGAGGATTATGAAGCCGCAAGACTTTGAGTATGTGTGGCAGAACTTTGTGGAACAGGAGGAAGGAGAGGAAGCGAAGAATTTCGTGCCATGGGAGGACATTCAAGAGAACTTCAATTATTATGAGGAAAAGCTGGCTGAGATTTTGCACTGAAGCTCACGTGAGTGAGGGGTTCCCCTCGGTCACCTCTCTCCTTGTATCAGCATTACAGGCTCCTTTGTTTTCCGGGTTCAAAGTGTCACCCAGAGCCCACTTCAGTTACTGTAACTCTCACATGTGCTGGGCTGGATTTGCCTATACCTGAGCACTGAAAATGATCCCAAGCTGTAACTTACCCCCCTTCAAGGGTAGTAACACCATAGTGGGCTCCTCCACAGCAGACACATGAGGGATTTAGAGCTTTTTCTTTTTAAACACCTCCAGGAATAAAGAACACCAAGGTGCTGGGATCACTAGGTGCAACAAGAACACCTTGTTATTCCCCACATGAATATATCCAAGAGACAATGTGGGAACAGCGAGGGGAATGTGGAGAGAAGGGGGTTTTCCCCACCCCCTACCTAAAGCCTAGCTCTCCTGGGGAAAAAGCAACTACTAAAGGAAACCACAAGTCACCACTGCACAATTCCCTTTGGGTACTAAAAAGTCACCCACTTAAGCCATAAAACACAAAAGCATTTGAAGCTTCTAACATGTCTTTCTGTCCTTCCCCAGGACCAGTCCAGAAAAGCTCTATAAAGAGAGATGCAACAGACCTGAACACCTGGGAGACCCCTGCTTCCCAAAGCTTTGATTCCAGCAGGACGGAGCACCAACTTGTGGAAGACCAGGCCCCGAGGGACTACAAATACACATACACCAAAAGCCTTCGGTGTTTGGGATTCTTCCGGGTTTATTTTGTCCCCATTCCCCCCCTCCCACCCCAAACCAACCCATGCTGCCTCTGCCGATAGAAAACGAGGCAGCACCATAGCGTGTGGTTTAACCTTGGATGCAATGGAGAGCAGTGCGTCTACAGGAGAGCCTGGAGACCTCATACTGGGACTACTTTATGAGAAAAGGTCTTAGAGAAAAGCTGCCAATTAGATCAATACATTTAGAAAGTACAACCTTCATAAATGTTAAAGAGATTCAAGAAGGGAAAAAAAGGGTTTTCTTCCTCTGTCCTCCTCCACAGTCAGAGCTGTGATTTAAATTAGGGCTATAACAGGTCTATTTTAAAATGACAAAGCCCTACGTACTCAATTGCAAATACATCAAATACCTTCTCCCCTTGTTCAATGAATGTGTGCAATGCGAAACTGGGAAAAGCAAAGTGAAATAAAACTAGAAGTCACTGCAAAAGCTATAGCACTGTTCACTCCTTCTCTGGTTGAGAGAGGTCCTAAATCTGACCTGACAAGCAGCATCATCCTGGGACAGCCACAGATGAAACATTTTACAGCTGAAGCGCATCGTTATGAGAAGGGAGAATTACTTTATGCCAAAAACCATTCAGAAGTACATACAAGTGCAGGAGACATAGAATATAGACCTATCACTTCCCCTATCAGCCAAGGCACAGAACTAACAAGGGTCTCAGGGATGCTTAGAAACCCAGTCAGGGTTTCTAAGTCTTTCCCATCAGCTCTTCCTGCACTGCCACACGCTGCAGCAGTGCTCCTCACACACACCCCCTGCTGCAAACCACCCCCTCTCCTACCTCAAGTCAACTGCAGCAAATTCAGGCCTAAATTTTCCAGGCAGGAAACCCAAGTTGCATCGGGAATGCCTTTGTAGAGCCCCCGAGGACTTCATCTATTTGCCAGTAGATTTAAAACCCAAACATAAATGAGCAGAAGGACTGAATCAATGAGCAGTGGCAATGTCCACCCTTCACCAGCTCAATACTCCCAAGTTCCTATTTGTCTTCCTGAGTTTACCAATTGTGTATTTAGCTACAGCAATTATCCACTAAAACCAAGGTTTGAAAGGATAGCCAAACAGATGGGACTCCTACATCTGCATCAGCAAAGAAACACACAATCCTGATGAACCACATCATGGACAGAGAACACTCCACACATTCAATTCACACTGAAACCCCAGTAGGAACCCTCTGTTATGCTACATGCTCCTTATGTCCCATCTTTTAGGTTTATTCAGCACATCTGGCATTTTTCTGGGCAGTCAGTAGGAAAGAAGTCAAAAAGATTTGTTATTATGGGAGACTGGGAAAATAAAGAGACATGAAGCAGATGCAGATTGACAGTTCTTCAGTGCAGGAACCAAACTCCCCCAAATGGAGTTTTTACCAGCGAGCTGCTGTTGCTGCTTTGCTTTTGCTCCTGGTGACATCAAACACCAAGCAGCACCCAACAGCTGAACTACAAATGCAGTAAAATAGAAATATGAAAAGCAAACCTTAAAACTCTACATTATGGCTTTTCAGAGCACATCAGGTATTCATATATGTGGCTTCTCAGACAACAGCAACTACAGGACACAAAACACACCCACAAAGTGCCTTCAACCATCTCCAGCACCTCCCTTCAAACCCAGCCTTCCTCCAGGACACAGCCACAACACACACACAGAGACAGGAATGGCTGATCTGACACCAGAGTACTGCACAGCTCTTTATTTCGTACTGACAACATGATTCTCAGCGAGTACAATCTCCTAACAAAACAACTGTATTTGTGGCCAGAAGGTAGAAATTAGATTGTTAATCTTGTAATGAACAGAGTAAATCAACTATATGCCACGCTGCAGAACTGGGAAACAGAACAAGTGACAAGGCTCCACAGCTCCTGATTACCAACAAACACCCAAGCAACAGCCAGCTCCAGTTTCACCCTGCACAGGAGCCCACAGCTCCAGGAACAGCGGGGCTCTATGGAGGCCCAGTGACACCTGGTGGCTTCCAGGGACACAGCCAGAGGGTTACAGCCCCACCACTGCCTTCTTCACAGGCTGCCCAGCCCCACATCCCAGACTTGCTTGTGGTTGTTGTTAAAAGCCACTGACACCACCAGAGCGAGCTACGCTCCAAGGATGTGCTCAGCATGCAGTTTCCCCCCTCGTCAGTTAACAGGTTCCCACTCCTCAAAGCTCAAAAGCTCTGCTGCTCACAGAGTGTAAACTGTGATCTTGATATCGGTGTCTTCAAACACTTCCCCAAGTATTGCTGAAACTTTGTTCCAATCAAGGCCATCGAGTCCACATCCAATCCTGGAAAGTAAGACATGAAATCAGCTCTAACAGCCCCTTTAGGAGCGTGCTGTGAACCAGAAGCCCTTCGAGCAGCTACAGTTTTATGTGGCACTAACCCAGCTCACCATAAATCATAGAATCCCAGACTGGTTTGTGTCAGAAGGGACCTTAAAGCTCCTCCAGTTCCAACCCCCTGCCACGGGCAGGGACACCTTCCACTAGAGCAGGTTGCTCCAAGCCCCTGTGTCCAACCTGGCCTTGAACACTGCCAGGGATGGGGCAGCCACAGCTTCTCTGGGCACCCTGTGCCAGCACCTCAGCACCCTCATAGTGAAGAATTTCTTCCTAATTATCTAAACTAAATCAACATAATGCACTTAAAATAAGGAAGCAACCAAGCCTGTGTGATTTGCCATCATTAAAATATAGCATGAAATACAAGTTTCAATTGCACAAGTGGCCAGAAGAGGATTCCTGAACATTTATTACACAGCAGAGGATAATCTCTCAGGCACTTTCCTAACACAAGAAGCACTGAAGTATTTAGATGAGAGTAACTCCCTTCCCTACCTAGGCATGGAGATGTCAGTGACTCCGTTGTTCAGAGAGTGAGCTTTCATGGCCTCTAAACTCTTCCGCATACTCTCGTATGTTGGTTTGTGAGAAGCTTTCTTCTTTGTAATCTAAGCACAGATGTAAAAAGTCAGTTGTGCCTTTGCCATGATCACTGCAAACTGCTTTTTTATAATATCATATTCCTGTACACTCTGAAACTCCATCCCCAGAAAAAGACTTGGAAAACCCCTCATGTTTCACAGCTTAGAACAGTGTAATTTAGCAGCTAGTTCTGTCCATTTAAAGCTTAACTACACATACAGAGGCCAGCTTGGCTTCCTCTCCACTAGCAGAGACTCCTCTCATTTAGAGCAGCAAACTCAACTCCCCCCCCTTGACTATTAAAGCCCTTATCATACCAAATATAGTTTAGTTAGAGAAGCACCCAAGTAACGTCCCACTCTCACCAGGTAGTAAATGTACCGGTCATCTCTCTGGAGCACTGCCACCTCCCCAGTCTTCTTTTCTGAAGTGAAACAATTAAAAAGTTGTTTTACATCAGTTACATTCCATCATGGAATTCCCCTACACTCCAAATAGCTTGGAATGCACTCAGAGAGTGGTAAAGCTCCCCAAGCCTTCTCTTCTCCAGACTAAACCCCCCAGGTTCCTCAGCCCTTCCCCATCACACTTCTGCTCCAGGCCCTGCACCAGCTCTGGTGCCCTTCTCTGGCCCCGCTCCAGCACCTCAATGTCTCTCTTGCAGTGAGGGGCCCAGAACTGACACAGGATTCGAGGTGCAGCCTCACCAGTGCCCAGTGCAGAGGGACAGTCACTTCCCTGGCCCTGCTGCCACACTGGGGCTGATACACGCCAGGATGCGGGGGGCTTCTTGGCGTCCTGGGCGCAAGGCTCCCCTTGTTCCCCGTGTGTTTCCCGATGACCCGCTTCCCAGCCACTCTTCCCCAAGCCCTCAGTGATATGCTTTAGTAGTGGCCCTGGCAGTCCTGGCGTAATGGTTGGACGTGATGATCTTAAGTGTCTTTTCCAACCTGGTTGATTCTATGATTCTAAATTAAGGGGTTTCCCTTCAGCTCCTCTATGTCCACCCCACGTGTTTCACTCACGTTGATCCAACAGCTCTTGCACACCTCCAAACTTCTCCTTGAAGAGCCGGGCTATGCCGGCACCCATGCGGCAATCCTCACTGATGCAGTGCGCCAGCGCATCCTGCGGGGGGCACGAGAACAGGTCCCCCTTCACACACCTCAGCTGGAAAACACCACAAACACAAGGGCAAATAAACACGAGCCAAGAGCACAGATTCCACTGATACAATTCTCAGAAACAAGGAATCTGGTCAGCCTCTACAGTGAAGAGTGTAAGGCCACGAGCTGTAAGATGCAGCTCACAAGTAAAGGAGTTGGCATCAACGAGAAGCCCAGCACAGAGTCTTTCTCCAGGACCAACGTGCCAGCTCGGAAGTTCATTTTACTAAATCAGTGCTTAAAAAGGAGAACTACACACTCTGAAGCGCAACTGGATCAGTGCACATCTTCAGCACACCACCAGCGTGTCAGTGCTGGGCACCCCCAGACATTCGGTTCAGAAAAACGGCCCCCACACAAGCATGAGACACTGACCACTACCGGCCCCTTTCCTCCAGCACACTGCACGCCGCAGGCAGCGGCCGCACTATCAGCCTCTTCAAGAGACCCCTACGGCGGCAGCAGCAGCCCACATAACCCATTTCCTACGCACTCTCTCCTCCTGATCCTTGGAGAAGTGGGTGGCCATGGTAACGTGGGCTATGCGGAAAGCTCCTGCGGCTAGAAAGATGACAGAGAGAAAAACAAAGAGTTATTAGGCAACAAACGGCTGCGCCGACAGGCGCAAGGACAACCCTGCTTCCTCTATGGGGACAACCGCGACACGCCTCGGGAACCGCAGCGCGG